TTTCTTTGACTTCTCTTAGCTTTGCGCGGTACCGGAGCAGAGCATCCATCGGGTGAGTTAGAGTTACTCCTTCCCTCTTCTTAGTCATATTTTCTTTTGTTATGAGGTTTTTTCTTTTGTTTTTTGTGTTAACTAGGTTTTCATATCTAATCTCAGACTGCCAATCCAAAACTTAACCCATCATAATGACAAGTTCCACATAGAAAGTTAGCGAATCCTTACTTAGTTAGGTTTTTGGTTCCTTACTATGTTATGGTTTTTAGTTACTTACCTGTTTGTTTAGACTCTAGTCCTATTATAATTGAGATTTATTTCCTATTGTAATTTAGGGTTGTTTTCTATTGTAATTTAGATTTATTTCCTATTTTATTTAGGGTTGTACTTCCTTATAAATACCTCCATATTGGAGAAGAATACATATCTGAAAATTTGCCCTACTTTGTTTGACTTTCATTCTTATTGTTAACATTCTCAACTGTTATTGTTTTGCCTTGAAGTTGTTATTTGCAGGACAGGCTGCTCAACCGTTGTTTCTGTTGTTGCTGTAATTGATCCTCATAATGGAAGATCGTCATGAGACTCCGGATAAGAACATTGAGTTGTGGAAAATTAAGAAGCTCATCAAGGGGCTTGAAGCTGCAAGGGGCAATGGCACCAGCATGATTTCTCTCATCGTACCTCCCCGCGATAAAATACCTCAAGTTGCGAAGATGCTCAGTGAAGAATTAGGATCCGCTTCCAACATCAAAAGCAGGGTGAATCGTCAATCTGTTCAAGGAGCAATTGCATCTGCTCAGCAGCGGCTCAAGCTTTACAACAAGGTTCCTCCTAATGGGCTTGTTCTGTATACGGGAACAATTGTTACGGAAGATGGCAAGGAAAAGAAGGTCACGATTGATTTTGAGCCTTCCAAGCCCATCAATGTGTCTCTTTACCTCTGTGACAACAAGTTCCATACTGAAGCTCTGACTGTTCTCTTAGAATCTGATGAGAAATTTGGTTTCATTATCATGGATGGTAAGGAGTCTCTGTTTGGAACATTGAGTGGTAATGTGAGGGAGGTGCTTCACAGATATCTTGTTCACCTCCCAAAGAAACATGCAAGAGGAGGGCAATCAGCTGCTCGATTTGCTCGTATTGGACAAGAGGCCCGCGACAATCATGTTACCAAGACAGCAGAGCTTGCCACAAACCTTTTTATTGATCCAGTCACCAATCAACCCAATGTTAAAGGATTAATACTGGCAGGTCAGCTGACTTCAAAACTAAGCTTAGCGAGTCAGGTAGGTTTGATCCTCGTCTGCAGGCCAAAATACTGAAAGTTGTGGATATTTCTTATGGAGGAGAGGAAGGTTTTAATCAGGCTATTAAGATGTCTCAAGAGATTCTGTCCAATGTGAAATTTATACAGGAGCAGCACTTGTTAGGCAAATACTTTGAGGAAGTTAACCAGGATACAGGAAAGTATGTTGTTGGTGTAGATGACACACTAAAAGCTTTGGAGATGGGTGCTATTAAGATACTCATTGTGTATGAAAATCTGGAGATTAATAGGTATGTGTTAAAGAACTCAAAGACTGATGAGATTTTTGTTAAACAGTTGAACGAGGAGGAGGAAAACAATCAAAGCAACTTTCGAGATCCTGTCACCTCCGACCAACTAGAGATTCAGGAGAAGATGTCACTGCTAGAGTGGCTTGCTGATGAGTACAAGAACTTTGGTTGTACTCTTGAGTTTGTCACCAACAAATCACAAGAGGGGTCACAGTTCTGTCGAGGTTTCGGGGGGATTGGAGGAATTCTGCGGTACCAGCTTGATATGAGGTCATTCGATGAGTTTGCTGATGATGAAGTTGAGGAAGACGGGGAAGTTTACGATGTTGGAGAAGCTGAAGATGATTCTGAATAGGAATTAATGAAGTATTCCCCAATGCTGGTGCAGGAAGGCAGGAGTGAAAAGGCCTGCACCAGTGCGCATGGGGCCGTGGCGGCTGCTGCTACTGCTCATGAGTGGTGTTCAAAAAATTTATCAGGCTCGACCAAGGTTTCTATATATTTATTCTCTGCTAGCTACTTCAAATTGCATCCTTTTATTTATTTGTATTGACTATCCTTCATCATTTATTTCTTGAAGGACATTGCATCTTCATCTGGTCCTGGAAAGCTTGATATGGTGATTGGATATGGATCACAAAAAGGTGGGGTTGGAAAAGCCTGCACCAAAGTTGTTGCTGCTCCTCCTGAGAGCTGCTCAAAAGATTTCTCAGGCTTGATCAAGGTTTATATTTCTACTCTCTCTGCATCATATGACATTATTTTCTTTTTCAATTACTGGTTGCTTAATCATAGTTTATTTCTTGAAGGGCACTGCACTGTTATCTGATCCTGAAAAGCTTGATGTGGTGATTTCTTCTGGATCACGAAAGGGGCTGGACAGAACAATCATCCAGAATGAGGACATTATGCAGAGAGCTGCCTCTTTTGGATGATCAAGACTTGGCAGTGGTTTTCTTACAACTTAATTAGTGTTTAGCCAAACAAATTATGCAGTGTTTAACTATTTGGTTTTCTTACAACTTATAATGTATCCTTCAATCGAGGAATCCCTCAAATATCAAATGTCTTGTAAATAAATAAAAAAGCAGCAAATTAAAAGAAACCTTCTAGAAAGTGGACATGGTACTAGTCCAGTTGTAGAAAGGTTCCCAAAGTTTGTTAGTTCTAAATTTTGAAGGTCACAACTTACGGAGCTGCATGCAATTGGGTAAATTTGATGAACCTAATAATTTATTTGTAAATTAAAACCTAAACATTAGTATTACAGCAGCAAGTCGGAGGTTCAGTCCCAAATCCCATACAGGCGCCCCCCTTGGGATGCTGCTTGGCTATGCAAGCCCCATTGCAGTCTTTGAATTCTGAACATGGTCCCAGACAAACAACTGGTGCTCTTATTGCCCCTACTGGCCCTGCCACTATTAATCCATTCAAAATTAAATCAAAAACAGCATTAATTATAGGTCGCCTAGAAAATTAGTGTGCATTAGATACATGAGTAGTATTCATTAAGTAGTTCATAAGAGATTTGAGGAGCCTAATTACCTGAAGCCAAAAGCAGAGCAATGCAGAGCAAGCCAACCAAGTTCTGAACCGCAGGAGAAAGCTTGCCAGCGGCCATCTCTAATTCCTTTGTTGATGAAAAATGAAATAATTTGTATGTTTTATTTATACAAGCGATAGTTTAAAAGGGCGATATGTATGGACTTTCCTACGTTGATATCAGATTTTGTTGCTTTTGGAGCGTTTCTTTTCCTATATTATATGGTAAGGTTTTAAAAGTCCATAGACAATATCCAAACTTGCCTAAATATCAAATTAAAATATCAATAGGGTATGAGTTGGATTGGCTCATGCCTTTCGTATATTCCTAAGTCGTTTCAGGCTCAAGCCCCTACGGTACGTGTGTATGAATTTTCCCCCATTCCCTTCCTAATTTGGAAAAAAAGATAAAAAAAATAAATATTAATTTAGAATGTGGAGGTTGGTTTAGAATGTATGGTTAATGGTTGAAATTCAAAGAATACAAAAACAGTTAGGAAGATAAAGTAAAAATTGACCGAAAATCTGCACTCTGACTCTGAGTTCTGGCAATGCATTCTTCTAACTTCAAACCCAAGCCATTTATATGATGAATGTGGTGGTCAATGAATTGTTTATTTATTTATAGCAGTCGGTCCACACTTGGCCCTTGTCAGTCAGCTAGCTGTCTTTGTATCAGATATATGCGTGTCATCATCTGATTGAATCTGAACAAGCAATATTATATATCCACGGGCACAAGCTGGAGTAGAAGCAGCTACTCTGTTTGCTCTGTTTTGATGAAAATTCAAACAGCTAGAGCTAGTCTTCAATGCATGTTATTCAGAGGTGGCCCATGGGGTGTGCGAGGTGTGCGACCGCATAGGGCCCCCAAAATTTAGGAGCCTCCAAAGTTTTCCAAGTCAACCTATTAAATTAATTAAAACATGAAAATAAAAATGAAATATTAAATATCACTCCACAACACCACAAGCAAGGAATCAAAACAAAAATTGAATTGAATATTAATTATCAACAAATTCTACGACTTAGAGAGTAGAGGCCCTAATTTAATTCATTTTCCTCTTTCCAACTCTCACATTGCAACTCTTCTTTTTATTTATTTATTATGGTTTGAAACCTGTGTTTTCCTCTTCCCGACTCTCAAGCTGCAAAACCATTCTAATATTCTTTTCTCTTTCAGCAAATCTTTCTCACTCTTCTCCATCAAAATAAACTCATTTCTCTTCAGTACCAGTGTACCACCCTCTTCCATCAAATTTTGGATTGTAAAAACCCAAACTTTAGTTCTTTCCCCAAAATCACAGTTCTTTTCTCCCTCCCTTATTCACATGAGAATTCACCAAGCATTTAAATTGGAAAATCAATTTATTAGCTCTGTGATTTGGAATGGTGACTAAAGAAATTTTTCGGGGAAGCTCTTTCCGAATGTGTTCTTCCCGTGTTAGAAATTTTTGTTTCTATATGGATTTTTTTTTCTACTTGTATATATAGGGCCTCGACATCCATATTTGCACAGGGCCTCCAAAATCAATGGACCGGCTTTGATGCCATTAGTCTTGCTGGCAACAATTGGAACTGATTTTTGTTCGAAATATATTGTGCTTTGTTGATTTTCTTGTGAACTTTTTTAAAAAGCACTTTTAGGCTTAAGCTAATGAAGGCTCTAGCTAAAGTAAATCATAAACAGTGATGAGCCTGGGAAATATTAGGTAGCTTTAGAAAGCTAGCTACCAAAGCCAGCATTTAACCTTATTTACTACACCCAACTGCCCCCCACCGCTGTTTTTGCCTTTATAAGCAAACCCTCAAACCCTTCTCCACAAACCAAGTGACCTAAAGAGAACACAAGTACTGAAGAGAAAAAAAAAAAAAGGAAAAAAAGGAAAAGGGGGGAAGAAAAGAAGGGGAGAGAGAGAGAGAGAGAGAGAGAGAGAGAGAAGAAACAGAGATATGGCAAGGTGGTTCATTGTGCTGGTTCTTGCTCTAGTTGTAGCTCACACTACAGCTAGAAACGTGCCTACAGCGAATGACGCTGGTTTCAAAGACCAAAAGAACTTCCTCGGTGGCGTTGGTGGCTTCTCTGGTATTGGCAGCAATGGGCTTCCATTTGCGGGAGCAGGGGCTGGTGTTGGTGGTAATCTTGGCGGCGGACTTGGTGGCGGCGCTGGGATAGGCGGAGTTGCCGGGCTTGGTGGTGGTACTGGTGGAATCGGTGACTTGGGCGGTGCAGGCGGCTTGGGTGGTCTAGGCGGCTTAGGAGGCGGCACCGGAGG